GGGCAGCTTGCCTCCTCCCGCCGCACATGCTCCCGATTCCCCCCCTTGCCCGCGCTCCTCCTCCCCCTGCTGGCGCTGCTCCTCGCGGCGCTGCCCCGCTCCCTGTGCGCGGCGGGACGAGTGAACCGACTTAAATACGCTACCGCGACGCGCCTCGTGCTCCTGCGCAATAACGCGTACGGCGCGAAATGTCTCGACGGCAGGTGCAGGCGCGGGTGCTTCACAATGCTTCACTATCGCGACAGCATCGCCGCGACTCGCGGAAACGCCTTCTCGTGGCATCAACCCATTCGCACATAGAGTCAACTTGAATGTCAATGAAGGTCATTCGCTCCCTTCATTCAACCCATGATGCATGAAAGTCCTTCCCCCCACGATTCCCGAAGCACACCTCTCAAGGTCAATCCTACATCATGCATGAAAGGTCAATTCAGTTTGCCTCCTCCACCTTCCCCCCTTGCCCATATCCTTTACCCCGCCCCCCCTCCCCCCCCCCTAAAGCCCCCCCGCGTACTACTTCCGCGCGGGCGCCTGGCGCGGGGAGGCGCAAGTGGCACGTGCATTTCCCCCGGGGCGGATGGTGCTTCACCCCGGCGGAGTGCCGCGAGCGCGCCAGTTCCCCCTTTGGCTCCTCGCACTTCTGGGCCCGACGACTCCCCGCCGTCGTAGAAAACGGCGGGGGGATCAACAGCGTGAGTGACAGCCGAATCCTCTAGAGCGACGCAGGCATAGCCCCCCTCTCTCTCCGCTTCGCACTCCCCCGCCCCCCTTCCCTGGGGGGCTGGCGCGATCGCGCCAACTCCCCCCTTGGCTCCTCGCGCTTCTGGGCCAAACAAATTTCCGCCGTCGTTGAAAACGGTGGAGCAGTGAGGGATGTGAGTTTCCTCGCTTCCACACTTGCCCCCATGCCGTATCTCATTTGCCCTCTGGCATGCCTTCTTTCTCATATCATGCCTTCTTTCTCATGTCTTGCCTTCTTTCTCATATCATGCCTTCTTTCTCTTGTCATGCCTTCTTTCTCATGTCATGCCTTCTTTCTCATGTCATGCCTGCTTTCTCATGTCATGCCTTCTTTTTCATGTCATGCCTTCTTTCTCATTCCACGCCTTCTTTCTCATGCCATGCCTTCTTTCTCATGTCATGCCTTCTTTCTCATCTCATGCCTTCTGTTTCCTCGCTGCTGCTCTTTGCCCCTTCCCTTCCCTCCACACTGCAACCCACCGTTCCCTGCCTCAAAAAGCAATGTCTGAGACGCCTGGAGAAGACGTTTCATTACACCCCACCCAACCACACCCCACTCCACCACCCCCCATCCCACCCAACCGTACCCTACCAGGCTAAGGTCGCCTACCCTCAACTGGGGGGCCTGCTATCACGGAGCAAGCTGTTTAACCCCGTGTTTCACGGGTGGAACCTGGTGTGGGTGGTGTACTGTGATGGTGGCGCCTACAGCAGCACGCGGGGGAGGGCGCATTTGTGTACATGCAGGGGCAGGCAATACTGGCCGCAATATTTCGTGGTTCGCTGTGGAAGGGAGGCTGGGTGGGAGGGAAAAGAATGTACTAGGGGGGAAAGTAAATGGCTGAGAGAATGGCCAAGGAGGGAATAGGGGAGACATTGGACTCTGGGGCGGACAAATCTGCGTATGGGGAGTTAGGGAGGGAAGAGGGAGAAATTTGAAGCTTTTTATATATGATCCTTCTCCTTTCTCTCTCTTTCACCCACCCCCCCAATGCCAGATCTGCGCAGGCGACGGGGCATGGGGGCGGCGTCGCATGTCCTCTTCTCGAGCAGCTCAGGGGGCGGCCATGCCATCATCATGCACTGCGACCGCCTCGCTGCCGTCTTCCCCCGCGCCCAAGCCACCTGCCTCGCCGACTCGGGCTTCTTTGTTGGTCAGTGAGCGCTGTGTTCTCTGCTGGTGAGCATTTGTCCCTGCTGGGTTTTTTTCCGCCACCTGCCTCGTTGACTCGGGATTCTTTGTTGGTCAGTACAGCGCAGCGCTGTAATAGTTGCTGATTGCCCTATATTGTCTGAATCTTGACTGAGAAGACGTGGCATCGATAGTGGTTTGAGGTCCTCGCAGTTTTCCCTCATGCATTGCGCCTCCCCCCTGCTACCGCCTGCCAGATGCCAAGGACCGCTTTGTCCTTCATTGTCTGAATCGTGAATTGGAGGACGTAGACTCTGTAATGATCTGCGCACTTCACTCTAGTCCCTCGTGCATTCCCCCTACCCCCTGCTACCGCCTGCCAGATGCCAAGGACCGTTTTAAACGGCACTATTGACGAGAAAAGATTCAGGCGCTCACCGCTCTGCACCGCATCAACGTCTTAAACTGCCCAGCAGGTGAAAGCTCTGCACGAGGCGATTCCCCAGGTGAAACTGGGACTAGCTGGTGGTTCTCATTGAAAACAGCACTACCATGTACACCTCTGGTGTAAACTAAAATCATCAGGCTGACTTTTGAGTTTGACTCAGGATGACTTCAGAACGACTCATCATCGGTCTTGAGTCAACACAGAAGTCATCCTACCTCCCACCTCTCTTCTTCCCCCAACCGTTCAGAAGCAAGGGACAACTGGGTCTGCTTCAGGTCACCACGCCCCTCTTCCTCTTCCAGTTTCACTTCGACAGTGGCTTAGCTCGCCTGGAAAATCAGTTGCCAACCAATTTCCTATACGCCGCAAACTGTTTGAGGAAGCAGATTCTCCTGCCAAACGCCAGTGCTGTGGCACGCAAGCATGCGTGGGGAGGTCTCCACCCGCCAAACCCGGCTTTCTGTTTACCTCAGGAGGTCAACGCGGTATTCTCGATGGCGGCTGTCTCGTATAGGTCTTTGGCGGAAGCGATGCGCGGAAGGAAGAATTTGGGGGTGATGCTGGCGCCGGGAACGGGGCACACGGTGATGGTCTATATGAGCTGGTTCAGGGCTTACATTGGAGTGCCGAAACTGAACAGGATATTCAATAGATGGTTCCTCGCCAGATATCAAGGGCTCTTTCCTGCATGAGTAGGATTTGTACCGTAATTGTTCCGGTCCCTGTGTCAAGGGCTGATTTTCAGTCCTTGTGTTCATATATCCTCAGCTCAGGGCTTGTCCAGTTCGTTCATTTCGGGATTTTTCGTGCCAAGCACGTATCGAGGCTAAAAATGACTACCGTACCTAGAAACGAATGCATTGTGAGTGGAGTCCAACCATCCTGTAATTTCAGAAGCGCGGACACATTCCCCGCCACACGAATCAACAGTGCTCTGACCACGTTGAAAACGAGGTAACAGTTTCCCTCGTCAATCATAGCTTGAAAATTTGTGTGCAGGCGCAGGGGGCGCTGGCGAGTAGGGCGAATTACTGACGAAATTGTACAAGCGATACAAGGGAAACGAACTGTAGTGGCCAGGATGCGGTGCTGTACCCTTGTTCGCGTCCCTGCTGATTTCAGTAGCGTGAGTCAGACGACTCTAGGTACGTGCATGGGGCGTGCCGTCTTGCGAACAGAAGCTGATTGTGTCCGCTGGACACGTTCAATAAAGGGTTACCACAAAAAATGTGGTAACTGAGGGGGTTTACGAACAGTAAATGTACGAGCTGGACCCCCCCTCAACCTGTATGTGAAGCCTGATTGAGGCCCTTTTCACAATATCAGTGCGTTCAGTCACTATGCGCCAGTATCGAAATTTTGTCGCACCGCTCTCGACTGCAAATGCTTCGGCCAAGGTGTTGATGCTCGGGCAGGTTGATTGCAAACCTGACTTGGATCGAGTCGTGTTCTTCCTACCACCACGTTTTCCTTCGCTTTTCTGCGAGTTCCAAGTACTACAGAATCGCCAGCATCCACGACCTGCTTTCGTGAGAAGTGGTATCGACACTATTAGAAATGAAACTTCACGTTTCATGCAAAAAGGGCAAAAAATCCAACTCCAACTCCAACTGGAAAAAACCACTGTACATGTCGGTCCGCCATTTACGAGCCGCGGATGCAAATGTACAGAATGCTCAGGGCGACGTCAGGTTATACATATCTCATGTGTTTGCAGTTCTTGTATCGTTATTCAGGACGGTCAAACACGGTGGAAAGCGGTTCTCGACGTTAACCTCTCTGCACCGTGTTGAAACAAAGTTAACCGCAGTGGGCGTACAAAAAGTTGTATAACCTGACGTCGCCCTCATGGGTCTCTGTAGCATCTCCGCACATTCCACCCCTCCCGCATTTAGTGACGATAATAACTAACCCCACCCATCCCTAACCTTCTCAAACCAACAAGACCTGGAGGAGTTTTGGTGTTATCGAACCTCCCCTTCTGTACCGTCTCGTTCCATCTCCCTCCCCTCCCCACTAAACAACATATCCCTCCCTCCCTTAACAACTTCCCCTACCTTCCACTGTCTCTTCAACATAGCGGCTTTCGTTCGCCGCCCTCTGCTTCTGCTGCTCCATTTTCCGTTGTTATTTCGCCACTTCGCCGAATTATTCGCCTCGGCATACAGGGGCACGGTAGCTGCGGCGATCGTAGTAATCGAGACCGTTGGTCCTTTATTCCAATATTTTTTGAAACGCTAAGCATCGATCCGCGCTAGAACGCGAGGCATTTCACTCAATAACACTCGGCCAGACTAATCTGGCACAGCGGAAACGCGGGATCGGCGTGAACGCGATGAGAGAGAGCTATTGTCAAATTCTCCTCTCGCATCGGCTCGACGCGAAGGAGTTCTTCGCTTGACTCCCTTGACCCACATGACTTAATTTGACCCGTTTGACCTTGTTGCGACCAATCACGCGTCGGGTTGGACCTCGGAAGTCCAAGCGCTTCAATAAACGGCGATCTCCACATTTTTAGGGAAACTCGTCCTCCGTGATCACTTCGTTTTTTTATTCGTCTCTGAGACGTCTCAAAAACAACCTCGCTTCACGTGGCTACTCCGCGATCACTTCGTTTTTTTATTCGTCTCAAAGAAATAACCCTTCTCGGCGATCTCGTCGCCGATCTCCGCGACGGTCATGTTGCTCGCCGCCGTCCCCGCTTTCTCCCGCTTACGAAGAGTCCTCCCGCTGCTGCCCGCGCTCCTCCTCGCGCTATCCCTCTCCCCCCCTTGCGGGGCGCAGCGAGCGAGCCGATTCAAATCCGCCACACGCCTCGTTTTCCTACCTAGTAACGCGTACAGCTCAAAATGCCTCGACGGGAGGTGCGTATCGGACATTTTTAACAATGGACGGAAGCTAGAAAACCGGGGGTCGAAGCTAGCCAGAAGGGTGATTGGACATTTTTAGGTCCTATGGCCGTTGCCTCCGTCGTCTCCCTTCCCCTCCTCTCCCACATCCTTCTTATTCATTTCCTCGCCCTTCCTTTCTTCCACCTCCCTCCCGTTCCCTCCCTTTCCCAACCCCTCCTCTCTCCCCCTCCCTCCCCATCCACTTCCCGCCGCCCAGTCCCCCCGCGTACTACTTCCGCGCGGGGGCGGGCGCGGGGAGACGCAAGTGGCACGTGCATCTCCCCACGGGCGGATGGTGCTTCTCCCCGGGGGAGTGCCGCAATCGCGCCAACTCCCCGCTCGGTTCCTCGCGCTTCTGGGCGACACGCCTCCCCGCCGTCATTGAAAACGGCGGAAGAATCAACAACGTGAGTGGAGTTCCTCCCCGCCCTGCCCACTCCCTCTATTTCGCACTCCCCGGCTCTTCTTCCCCCGGCTAGACGCCTCCCCGCCGTCGCTGAAAACGGCGGAAGAATCAGCAGCGTGACTGACACATCCCCCCGTTCTCTTCCCCATCTCTCCACCCCCTCCTCTTCTCCCCATTCATACGAGTCCTATCCGCAGCTAGGCGGCTCCTTTCCCAGGACAGTGCAGCCAACTCCTCCCCCTCTCACTCACTCTCTCCGACCCTCTCTTACTCCTCCCTCTCCTATCCCCTCCCCTCTTCCCCACTCTCCCTCTCCTCTCTCTTCCCCGAATACCCATGGTTGGGCGGCCAATCATCCCAAGCTGGCGTAGCCAACCCAGTGTTCCACTCAAGGAGCCTGGTGTGGGTGGCGAGTCGACTCAAAAGTCTGCTCCCACTTGCCCTCCTCCCTCTCTTTCCCCCCACCAGGCATCCGAGGAATACCCACGACTGTGTGGGCTCCCATCGTGGGACAGCGCAGCCCACCACTCTAACTTCCACTCACTCTCACTCTCCTACCCTCTCTTTTCCCACTCACCTTCTCCTCTCCCGTACCAGGCGTCCGAGGAATACCCACAGTTGGGTGGCCTTCTATCACAGGACAGTGCAGCCAACCCGGTGTTCCACGCGTGGAACCTGGTGTGGGTTGTGTACTGTGACGGCGGCGCCTACAGCAGCACGCGGGGGAGGGCGGACCTGGGGGAGGGCGCATCTGTGTACATGCAGGGACGGCAGATTCTGGACGATATTATCACTGGTGAGGAGGGAGAGGGGAGGATAAGGAGTGGGGAATGGGGTGGGGGGGCATGGGGGCAACGTCGCACGTTCTATTTTCCGGCAGCTCTGCTGGCGCCCATACCATTCTGATGTCAACCGCCTCCCACCCCTCTCCACCTCCCTATGACCCCATCAATCCTTCCAGATCTGCGCACTCGGCAGGGCATGGGGGCGGCGTCGCATGTGCTCTTCTCGGGCAGCTCAGCGGGCGGCCATGCCATCATCATGCACTGCGACCGCCTCGCTGCCGCCTTCCCCCGCGCCTCCTCCAAGTGCTTTGCTGACTCGGGCTTCTTTGTTGGTGAGCGTGCTCATTAAATAGCGGTGAGCGCAGGCTTGTGCTGCTCGGCGCTGTGATTTTGTTGCTGCTCAGCGCTGTGATGTTGTTGCTGCTCGGCGCTGTGATTTTGTTGCTGCTCAGCGCTGTGATTTTGTTGCTGCTCGGCGCTGTGATTTTCCTGGTGAGCGCCTTTTGGGACGTCTCAAAAGTGCTCATTGACTCAAAGGTGAGCGCAGGGTGTTGCTGCCTCAGCACTCTGATTCTCCTGGTGAGCGCTCTGTTTTGCTCTTGAGTTTCCTGCGCTGTTTGACTTTTGGCTTCTTCATTGGTTTAGAGCTAAGAAAAAAGTAGCCGTGGCATGCTCCCTCCCCCTTTCTTCCTCCCCTCTTCCCCCCTCTTCCCCCCTCTCCCCCACCTCCCCCTCCCCTCCTCCCCCTTTCCTCCCTCTTTCCTTCCCCGTCCACTGCAGATGCCAAGGACCGCTTTGGGGTGTACTCATGGCGGGAATACATCCGGCTGCTCACCGCTCTGCACCGCATTGAAGTCCCCAAATGCCCTGCAGGTGAAATCAGCACAAAAATACTACCTACATGGTGCAAACAGAACAGCATAGGAGACAACTTAGCAGGTGAAAACAGGATTGGCACTCCACCAGGTTATAACATGCCGTGTCCCTTGAAGCCTTTTGAGTCGACTCAAAATGACTTCTGAGTCGAATCAACTCATAAGTCACCAGGTTTGGCACTCCACCAGGTTACAACAACCCCAATCCCTTAAAGTCTTCTCTGGTTCTTCTGTATTCTGAGACGTCTCATAAGTCTTGTGCGTTTGCAATGGCGATGGGTGGGTGGGTGGGTGGGTGGGTGGGAGGTATTTGACTTGCCCACTCCCTTGGAGTCTCCTCTCGTTCTTCCAAAAGAGAGGCATGTGTCATGTCAGTACGCATTCCTCATTTGCCTCTTTTGAGGCGCCTCAAAAGTCAAAAGAGAGGCATGTGTCATGTCAGTACGCATTCCTCATTTGCCTCTTCCGAACCAATACACAAGGGTCTCTTTCTCTCTCCTCCGTTCCCTCCCAAGTTAGAGACGAGACAACTGGGCCTGCTGCTTCCCCAAACTCTGGGTCATCATCTTTTTCCTTCTCCCCTACCACCCCACTTCCCCCGCGTCTCTTCCCTCCTCTGCTCCCCCTGTTCCCACCCTCTCAGGAGCACAAGTGAGGGACAACTGGGTCTGCTCCTTCCCCGAACACTGGGTCACTTGCTCCCCTCTCCCCACCCCTTGCTCCCCTCTCCCCACCCCTTGCTCCCCTTATCCCCCTTCCTCTCGCCCTCCTCAGGAGCACAAGTGAGGGACAACTGGGTCTGCTTCTTCCCATTACACACAAGCTTGCTCCCCTTCCTCCCGCCCTTGCTCCCTCCCGCCCTTGCTCCCTCCTGCCCTTGCTCCTGGCCCCATCCAGGAGCGCAAACAAGAGACAACTGGGTCTGTTTCTTCCCAGAGCACACCCTTGCACAGGTCTCCACACCGCTCTTCCTCTTCCATTCCTTCTTCGACTGGCGCTTTATACAGTACGAGCAGCAGCTCCCTAGCGAGGATCTATTGTACTCGCAAAGGTGCCTCGACGGGCAGATATTACGGCAAAGGGCAAGTGTACTGGCACGGGAGCGCACATGGGGTAATGTACGGTGGAGGCAGAATTTTTGTTCACGGCAAGAGCTTGATGCGGTGTTTTCAGTGGGATATACCGTGTATAATCGACTGGCGGTAGCGGCGCGCAGAAACAGGAATTTGGGAGTGTTTTTGGCGCCACGATCTGTGCACACTACACTGTTCAGTGTTGCTTGGTTCCTGAGAAGTGTGAACGGGGTGAAGCTGAGTAGGTTGTTTGAGACGTGGTATGGTTTTAGTGGGAGAAAAAAGGGCATGTTTGTGTTTGAATAGGTTGTTTTGAACTCAAATGAATTGCAATTAAGGAGTTGGTTTAGGCACTGCAATTGTACCCAGTGTAGCTGCTTGTAATTTTGCTTTCAACACACTAACAAATCATGCCTATCGTATTATAGCCGTCGAACACATTGACCTTGTCAAGCATGGCAATGACTTGTGGCATGGGGGGGTGTTCGAGCCTTCCCCAAAGCAACTCAAATGTTGTGCACCATTCAAAAGCAGCTCAAATGTCGCGCACGGCACGGCAATGACTGGCGGCATGGACGGGCATTTGAGTGTAAGCCCTCTCAAAAGCTCCTTAGATCAGATGTTGTGCACAGGGATTTCTTTCCTGTGCTGAACACATTGACCTTGTCAAGCATGGCAATGACTTGCGGCATGGAGGGGCATTCTAGCCTCCTCACAAGCAGCTCAAATGTTGCACCTCTCAAAAGCTCTCGAAAGCAGCTCACTCAAATGTTGTGCACTGGAATCTCTTTCCCACTGAACACATTGACCTTTTCAAGCATAGCAATGACTTGCGGCATGGAGGGGCGCGCAGCAGAGGATCCCTCCCAGCAGCACCGCATGACTCGTGCGATGTCAGGAGGACACTTGTGGGGCAAGATGGGGCGCACGCCCTGGTAGGATGGGATGAGGGGAGGAAGGATGAAAAGCGGGGAAGGTGAGGAGCCCTCCCAGCAGCACCGCATGACTCGTGCCAAGTCAAGGGGGCACTTGTGGGGCAAGATGGGGCGCACGCCCTGGTAGGATGGGATGGGGTAAGTAAGAGGAGGTGGGGAGGAGGGGAGAATGGGAGGAAGGAAGAAACCAAGGATCTTCCCAGCAGCACATGACACACGCCAGATGAGGGCAAGGTGGGGGAACGGAGGAGAGGTTGATGTGGCACAGGCCCAATTGGGTGGGTTGCCTCAATTGGTGTGGTGTGGGGAAGCCAAGGGGGAGGCGGGGGGAGTGAACAACACGATTCCCTACTGACTTCCCCTGTTGGGGCACTCGAGGGGAAGGTGCAGCACACTCCCTGGAGGATTGTGGAGAGGCGGAGTTGAGAAAAGTAATGGAGGAGGAGGTGAGAGAGGAATAACGAGAAGATGGGACTGATGTGCCATGCGCCATGCGCGATGTGCCATGTGCCGTGTGCCATGTGCCATGTGCCATGTGCCATGTGCCGTGTGCCGTGTGCCATGTGCCATGTGCCATGTGCCGTGTGCCGTGTGCCATGTGCCGTGTGCCGTGTGCCGTGTGCCATGTGCCATGTGCCGTGTAAAATCTGCCATGCCTCATGCGTCATGCAAGCAGCACAGAAAGACTCACCTCACGGATGGCGGAGGGCATAGTACTCAAGTCAAACGAGTCAAACAGATTCTCGCAGGTCAGCAGCCTCCTCCCGAGGCATCTCAAAGGTCCTCACCTCACTGATGGCAGAAGCCATTTCGCTGAAGTCAAACGAGTCAAAGGGGGTCTCGCAGGTCAGCAGCTCCCACAGGCAGATGCCAAAGCTGTACACGTCAGCACGGCGGTCGTATGGCAGTCCAGCCAGAACCTGAGGGAGGGAGGGGGAACAGTCAGATCAGAGTGCAGAGGTCAGCACCCGTCATTGACAAATAGCAAAGCAGTACACGTCCGCATGGGTAAGCAGCTCCCATGGGCACATGGTAAAGCTGTTCACGCCAGTGCACTCACATTTGCTGATATCTGCCTGTATCTGCCTGTATCTGCCTGTATCTACCTTATACCAGCGAAAGCAACGCACCTCAGGAGCCATGTATCCCACTGAGCCCGTCTCCCCACTGGCGTCATGAGGCAACGTTTTGAGTCGACTCAAAAGCCTTCAATCCACATGTTATCACCACATGCAAGCAGCGCACCTTCAATCTACCAGTTATCAGCACACACAAGCAACGCACCTCAGGAGCCATGTATCCCACTGAGCCCGTCTCCCCGCTGGCATCATGAGGCAACGTTTTGAGTCGACTCAAAAGCCTTCAATCTACATGTTATCACCACATGCAAGCAGCGCACCTTCAATCTACCAGTTATCAGCACACACAAGCAACGCACCTCAGGAGCCATGTATCCCACTGAGCCCGTCTCCCCACTGGCGTCATGAGGCAACCACCCCCCCGCCGCCTCCCCTCCTTTCTCACCCCCCGTCACCACACCCTCCTCCGCCCCTCCTGCTGCTCCTCCGCCCCCTCTCGCCTCTCCTGCCTCGCGTCTCCCGACCTCCACATCCCGCCCTACTCCACGCCTCTCCTCCCCTTCACCATTCCGAGCCGAATCCTGCAGGTCCTCTCCCTGCAGCACGTCTTGTGGCTGCTGTCCAACAGCCTCATCACCCCCCCTTCCCCCTACCTCTGCCCCCGCCACCCCTGCCCCTGCCCCTGCCCCTGCCTCGCTCCCAGCGACCCCGGTTTGTTCTTGAGAATCCCCAAGAACCCCAGCAGAGCCAGAGTTGTCACAGCGCTGGGCGCCCCCACGGCCACGAGCCCGGCAGTCGCCTTCGAAGCGCGCGACGCCAAAGCCGGCGATCTTGAGGCGCCTGCGATCCGTGAGGAGGAGGTTGTCGGGGCACACGTCCCCGTGCACCACACCGCTGCTGTGGATGTAGGCCAGACTGGTGGGTGGGTGGGAGAAGAGGGGGGGGTGAGACAGGAGTGAAGAGGTGACGTGATCCGTGCGCAGCAGGTTATCGGGACGCACGTCCCCGTGCACCACACCGCTGCTGTGGATGTTGGCAAGACTGAGGGGGGGAGGAGGGATGAGAAATGGCGGATGGGAGGGAAGGGAGGAGGTGACATAGTCCGTGAGGAGCAGGTTGTCGGGGCACACGTCTCCATGCACCACACCGCTGCTGTGGATGTAGGCCAGACTGAAGGGGGGAAGGGGGAGGCGGTGTTTGGGGTTAGGAAGAGGGGGATGAATAGGGAGGGAGGAGGCGGCTGCGGTCCGTGCGGAGCAGGTTGTCCGGACACACGTCCCCGTGGGCCACACCGCTGCTGTGGATGTGGGCCACACTGGTGGGTAAGTGCGGAAGGGGTTGGTTGGTGGGTGTGGGTGTGCTTGGATACTGACTGCATATCGACCCGCCCACTCAAGTGAAACACAAACCTCTACCACACTTCTCCCCCCCTTCCCTTCAACCTCCTCACTCACTCACCCCTTGGCGAGCTGCAAGGCCAGCTCCACCAGCATGTGCAGAGGCAGCTTTCTGCGCTCCCTGGCGGCGCGAGCGAGACAATCCTTGAGCGTCAGGTCGCCCACATACTCCATGATGAGACACCCCACCACGCGCCTCAGGAGTTCCCAGATGCAACCGATATAGATCCCCCCCGCAATCACTCACCCCTTGGCGAGCTGCAACGCCAGCTCCACCAGCATGTGCAGCGGCAGCTTTCTCCTCTCCCTGGCAGCACGGGCCAGATACTCCTTGACAGTCAGATCGCCCACATACTCCATGATGAGGCACCCCGCCACGCCGCGCAAACGCGCGTCCACGCCGCGGGGGGTGGTGCAGGGCGCACAGTCCGCTGACACGCTCGCTGCTACCAGCTGGACGTGCAGGCATGGGGGTGGGGAAAGAGGGGATGGGAGGGGAGGGCGTGGGAGGGGAGGGCGTGGGAGGGGAGGGCGTGGGAGGAGAGGGCGTGGGAGGAGAGGGCGTGGGAGGGGAGGGCGTGGGAGGGCACTCCTGTTCTACTTCCATCTCATAGGTATGCTTCAATGTGCTCGCCCCAGTTTCGCCTGTATTTGTAAGCCATTTCAATGTTTCATATTTTCTGCCTGAAAGGATCTTGGATATAAGAGCGGCTGGACACAGGAAGAGTCTGATGGCAGCCCGGGTCCCGGACTCACGTTGACAATTCCTGTCAGCTGGCTTGGGTGAAAGGCGTTTCTTCGCCCCTGCTTCGCACCTGCCGAGCTGACTCCCGGGTTGACGCTGGCTCACCTGAGTCACGTAGGGGTGCTTGAGGCCTCGCCACACGTGCACCTGGCGCAGCAGAGTGGCTCTCTGCTTGGCGCGCAGCACCGGCGAGAACGACCCCGCTTCGCCCCAGTCGATTGCCTTCACTGCACGCATTCGCGGGGAGGGTGGCGGAGAGAGAAAGGCAGTGTTATGAGGAAACATAACCACGGTTGAGGGAAGTCGGTAGAGAGCGAGAGGGAATGGGGCGAGAAAGGAGTATGAGACAGGGCAGCAGGCAGGCAGCAGGATGCAAGAGCCAGCGATACTGGTGTTACTTTTGAGCCAACGGAGCCAGCGATACTGGTGTTACTTTTGAGCCAACGGAGCCAGCGATACTGGTGTTACTTTTGAGAATCAGCAATGCAAAAGTAACACCAATGGAGCCAGCGGTCAGCAGTAAGATATGCAATTGAACAACTTCCAACAGCGAATCTAGGGGGGACAGGTGGAGTGCGAATGACGTGGGGTGAGATGAGGGGTGACTTGGCGAGTGGGGGGTGGCACGGGGAAAGCAGAGGGAAGGGAAAAACGGGCGTCGCGGGGGAGAAATGGGCGTCGGGAGGAGAAATTGTGCATACCGGCAACATCCATGTCCCTGAACGCGCCCTTATACACCGTGCTGTACGCGCCCCTGCAAATCTCTTTCTTTAAAGTCACACGCCGCAAATCAACCTGCCACGCGGGGTCGCCTGCTATTGCGACATCGCCTGCGCCCCTCCGCCCATCTGTACCCACTTCCACCTCCGCAGACCGCTCCTTATTCGTCCCGTCCTTCGCACCCGCTTCCTTACCACACTTGTTCAGCGGCACACCCGAGACATTATTAGCAAAAGGCACCACGTCACCATCACTGCGGATGGCAGCAACGGCCGCCGCAGCGGCAGCACGAACAGAATCCCCCTCCCCGTTTCCATGAGAACGTGCCCTACCCAGCACATGCTTCCCGTTCTTCTCCGCTTTCTCCTGCCACGCCGCGCCCAATCCCAGGCCTCCGTCGCCGTCGCCGTCGCCCGCCTTCTTCTCGCCGCGCCACGGCATGGACATGACTCGGTCCAGCGCCTTATCCAGTGCGGCGATGTTCACCCCCACGGAGGAGCTCTCCGAACGCCGCCTCCTTCCGCCTGCTCCCCCTGCTTCTCCTGATTCCGCCTGACCGCCGCGTCCCACCTGCACCGAATACGACCTACCCAGAAAGGAATTCCCAGCGTCGCGCTTGCTCGTTTCGTCTTTGACGCCATTGGACGGGTCGGTTCGCACTCTTAGCAGCTCTCCGTCGAAGTCTGCGATTCCTGTGGCCGTGTCTGATGGTTGCGCGGAGACTGTTGATTCGGATGATTGTGAAAATCGAAACACGTGGCCTGCGCTTAGGGACGAAGCGTCGTGCAGCTCCGCCATCGCTTGCGCGCGTGCGCGCGTTTCCGAGACGCTTCAATACGTGCGCGTCCGTCCGCGATTGACGACGTTCCAATTTCTCACGTGTGACCGACGCGTGCAGGTATCGAGGTGCTGCGGATGACAACAACGAGCTTGACAGTCGCCAACTGAAGTGTGCGTGGAGTTAGCGTTCGCTGTGCAGCTGCTGCCAGAACGCAACGCAGGGCTTCCTGGTAATTGATTTCACAAGAGCTACGCCGCGAATGCACCACCTAAGAAAGACCGTATTGTAGGGTGGCTTTATCTAAGGACACTTATGCCGTTCACTATGAATTTCCTTGTTCCTTAATATTTGTCAGAGCCTGACAACCTGTAGAGAAGATGAATTTGGGAAAATTGAAATAAGTAAAATGGCTGAATCTGTTACTTACAGTTGCACGAGATAGGACAGGATAAATAACCACATGATCGTGTCGGCCTCCTGGCTCGAGATTCACTGAATAACACCTAGTCAACACTGAAGAGACCTGCCTCAATTGAGCTGGAATAGTCAGCTTCTGAAAGAACTGCATTGCATTGCATCTCGCCCAAGATTTCATAACGAAATGCAATGCACTTGGCACACAGAGAATACCTCCCCGCAGAGATGCAGGGGACGACTGGGTGAATTTGGAAGTCTGGCTGGCTTTGTGACGGACGGTTATTTCTGTTCTTTTGACACGGTTCTGTACGGTGCAATACGGTCAAGAGCAGTTACAAGTCGTACCGTGTGGAAACCTTCTGAACCGCGCTAGACGCTCAATGGACAAGGTCTGGGAACCCTAAAATGTCGCGAACTGGCTGTAGGAGAAGCTGAGAGCCAATGACCAACCAGCGAGCAGTTCCAATGTCCAATGACCAGTCCCGGCCCAGGGTCCTGGAAAAATTCGGTTGGAGATGGCCCCATCCCATGAAATGAGCGGAATTTCCGAGGAAATCAAAGCATCTTGCCATTACCTTTCGCATCCAGCGAGGCGAGGAAAAAGCGCCGCACCATGGCTGCAGACAGGTCAGCACTCGCGGAAATCTCGAGGCCAGCGCAGTCCGTCCGCGGTATTAGCATTACGAACAAATTAGTGAATTAAGGTGGTGGTTTTCTAGCAGATTGCAATAAGACATTATTCTAAGACATTATGCTCACCTTGGTGTGAGCTTTTTACTTAGGCAGTGAGCAGCTACAGATACCAAGACATGATACAAATAATAGAAGGCATGTCTTATTTACCCGCAAAGACATTCACCTTCTGCAGCATTGCAAGAACTTGGGGCATCGAAGGGCGAGCAGTAGGGAGACCTTCCCAGCAGCAACGCATAACATTGGCCAAGTCAGGGGGGCACTTGGGGGATATAATGGGGCGTGAGCCCTGTAGGAGGGAGGAGAGGGTGGGAGTGGGAATGGGGATCGCACACTAGGCACTGATGAACGGAAGTTCTAGAACCAAAGGGATGCACAGTGAAGTAGTTTGTAAGGATAGCAAGCATAGGCAAATGGCCATCCCTCCAACGTCTCACTTCAAGTCGGTGCCTTTCCCAACTGACTGCTCCCACAGCGGAAAAAGCAAAAACACCCCCATCCATCTCCATCCCTATCCCCTTCAGCCTACACTGCTTCTCCCCACCCGACTGACCCTCCCATCCCTTACCTCCTTGACAGCATCGGCCACTTCCCCAAAGTCTAGGTTCGGGAACGGCGCCTCCCGGGCATAGAGCTCCCACAGGCAGATGCCGAAGCTGTAGACGTCAGCAGAGCGGTCGTAGGGCTGCGAGAAGAGCACCTGGGGGGGTTTCGGGTGAGAGGGGGGTAACACGTCACGAGCAACGGTAGGGGGGCATGTCACTCCACACGGGGGCAGATGCTGAAGCTGTACACGTCAGCAGGGCGGTCGTAGGACTGGGAGAAGAGCACCTGGGGGGGTGTCGGATGGTCAGGAAAGGTGGGGGAAGGTGGGGGAAGGTGTGGAAAAGGGGAGAGGGGGGGGGGGGGGAGGGTGTCATTGCACCTCAGAAGGGTGTCATTACAGCTCTGCACATATACACAGATGGCAGAGCTGTAGGCAACAGAAGGAACGGCAGAATCACCTCAGAGGCTCTCAGGCACTGTAGGCTGAGATTCGCTGGCAGCTCTGAGACCCTTGAAAAGTAAAATACCTCAGGGGCGCTGTACCTGAGGGTTCCCTGCAGCTGCCAGTGGCGGTGTTGACTGGGTGTGACGAGTTGGCTAGTGGGTGACAGAGGGGTGGTGGGTGGGGAGGGGGCTACTTCAGGGAGCTGTGGCTGCGCCTGCAGCTGTTGAAAAGTCTCACACTCAATCTGAATATACCTCAGGCGCGCTGTAGCTGAGGGTGCGGCGGCAGCTGCCAGTGGCGGTCTGACTGGGTGGGATGAGAAAAAGGAGGGTGTGGGAGGGGTATTACCTCTGGCGCGCTGTAGCTGAGGGTGCGGCGGCAGCTGCCAGTGGCAGTGCTGACTGGGTGAGACGCCTCCACACGCGCCGCCCCGAATCTTGCGATCTTGAGGCGGCGCTTGCCGTCCAGAAGGAGGTTCTCAGGACAAATGTCGCCGTGCACCACGCCCATGGAGTGCAGATACGCCAGGCTGGCAGAATGGGGGGGGCCAGGGTCGAGGGGGGAGGGGAGTGAGTGAAGGGAGTAAGGAGCGCGTTTTACGAATAAATGCCGCCATGCACCATGCCCATGGAGTGCAGATACGCCAGGCTGGCAACGAGAGTTGAGGGGAGAAGGGAAGGAGAGAGGGGGACGGCGGACAACAGGGGAGAGGGTAGGGCTAGGGTGAAGAAGGATGGCGAGAAGTGAGGAGTAATCAACCCTCATTGCACTCACTCACCCTTTGACTGGTTGCACTCACTCACCCTTTGACAGATCGACTACCCCTCGTTCAGAGATGCCTCAAACCGGGGCTTCTGTGGGGAGCAGAGGGGTAAATCAACTGCAATCGTGTCTCTGCTTGCACTCACTCACCCCTAGCTGAGATTTACTGCCACTTGTTCCGATGCCTCAATACTCAACGAGGTGACGCGCACAGCAGGTGACGGGCACAGCAGGTGACGCGCACAACAGGTGACGCGCACAACAGGTGGCGCGCACAACAGGTGACCAATCACTGTTCCTTCCTTGATGGCACTCACTCACTCACTCACTCGCTCACTCACTCACTCACTCACTCACTAACTCACTCACTCACTAACTCACTCACTCACCCCTTGCCGAGATCAACTGCCACTTGCACAATGAACGGCATCGGCAGCTTCCTTCGCTCGCGGGCTGCCCGGAAAAGATATTCCTTGAGGCTGCAGTGTTCCACGTGCTCCATCACCACACAGAACGCATGCCCCTTGAATCGTGTATCCACCCTGTCCGCCCCTTTCTCCCTGTCCGCCCCTTTCTCCCTGTCCGCCCCTTTCTCCCTGTCCGCCCCTTTCTCCCTGTCAGCACCTTTTTCCTTGTCCTTTCCATCAGCAGCGCTACTAGTGGCAGCGCTAGTGGGGGTGGTCGGCAGTTGAGGGTGCTCGGGGATTGATGCTCCGATGAACTGAAGGGCAGGAACACGGGGAGGGGAGGGATACACACAGGAGAGGGATATGCGACGCTTGGAGAGTATCAACTGAAGGCCGATGCGAGGGTGAAGGTGCCTGTTTTTGAGGCGTCTCAAAAAGAGACTCCGGTTATATGTGCTGCAGATATAGGGCAGCAGGGCAGCCGGGATAGACGACGCTCGGAGGGTCTCAACTGCGGACGGATTTGAGGGTGCTAAGGCGACGACGGTGCCCCAACAGAGTGACGTGCATGGGCAACAGGACGGATGGATGTGCTGGGAGGAGGGATGAAGGGATGGAGGGATGGAGGGATGAACAACGGGAGTACTCATCCATCCCTCCCAGCACAGAAAACCATCTGGATTCCCATGAGAAGAAAGGGAAGGTGGATGTAGCGTGAGGAGAATCTTCTGAGGCGTGTCGGTAGATGGGACATGTGGGTTTCACCTTGACTATATTGGGGTGTTTGAGCCGCCTCCATATAGTCACTTCCCTTAGGAACTTGGCCCTCCTCTGCTCCCACTGCTCCCCCTCGGACATCTCCCCTTCCACCTCGCTCCAAGGCACCACCCGCACTGGTGGTGCATGGGAAGAGGGGGAGAGAGAGGGTGAAGATTTTCGAGACGTTGTAACTCTTCCATGCACCACTCAGTTCTCTTATTGCTCCCCCTCGGACATCTCCCCTTCCACCTTGCTCCAAGGCACCACGCGCACTGGTGGTGCGTGCAGGTGTGAGTGTGAAAGGTGGGGGGGAATGTGAGAAGAGATTTGACGCGCACACCTACACTGTAACTCGACCGTGTACCAGTCACAGTGGTAGCCTGTTTGGATGAGCTTTGAAAGGTGTGAGTGTGAAAGGTGGGGGGGAAAGTGAGAAGAGCTTTGACACGTCTTAACTCAACTATGTACCAGTCACAGTGGTAGGTCGTTTGGATGAGTGTGGTGTGTGTGAGTGAGGTGTGTGTGGTGTGTGTGGTGTGTGTGAGTGTGTGTGGTGTGTGTGAGTGTGGTGTGTGTGGCGTGTGTGAGTGTGGTGTGTGTGAGTGCGGTGTGTGTGAGTGTGGTGTGTGTGAGTGTGGTGTGTGTGAGTGTGGTGTGTGTGGTGTGTGTGAGTGTGTGTGGTGTGTGTGAGTGTGTGTGGTGTGTGTGAGTGTGCATGGCAGGGGAAGGGAGAAGGAGAAGAGCTTTGAGACGTCTTGAGTTACATTCCGGTTCCAGGAGCCTTTTAATCAGTTCAAAAGGTGAGGAGGAGATGGCTCATACCTGCAACGGGGCAGTCCTTGTATTTGCCCTTGTACACAATCCCAGACGACCCCTTAGCAATCTCTTTCTTTAAAATAACGTTCCTCAGCTTGATCTCCCACACCGGCCGCTCCCCAACCCACGCCTGCCCCGCCTCCCCACTCCACGCAGGAGACATCAGCTCCCCCTCCCAACCCACACTCCTCATGCTCCCCATGCTCCCTGCTGGGCTGGCATTCCCAGTGCCGGTTATCCCCCCCCCTGCCTCCCACCCAATGCTGCGAGCACTGCCAACGGGGCTGATACTATCTGCTGCAGAACCTCCTTCCCATCCCACGCACCCGGTGCTAGCACCGGTGCTAGCCTCGGGACTAGTCTCGGGATTTGTGTCGGAATTCGCAGTGGCAGCGGCAGCGGCAGCGGCAGCAGCAGCAGGGTTAGCACCAGCAACCCGACCTGCTATGGCATACCCTCTGGCCACCACACCTTCCGTACTGATAGCAGCAGCACCTGATGCTGCTGCTGATACGGATGGGCTAGCAGGCGCAGCAGCAGAGGGCGAGGAGGGGGTGAAGGAGGCGGGAGGGGAGGGGTGAGAGGAGCGAGAAGGGGAGGATGGGTGTGGAGAGGGGGGTGGGAGGGAGCAGTGAAGAGGGGAGGAGGAAGGGGAAGGCAGGGAGGCGGGGGTGGTAGTGTGGGAGGGGAGGAATGCGGGAGGAATAAGAGAGGGTGGATTGTTTGGACGAGTGGAGGGCGGTATGAGACGGAGAGGGGGAGCGCTTAGGTGGGGAGAAGTGGAGGTTGGCTCAGAGGAGGCTAGTTGTTGCCGCATATCGCTCTTGCCCTCTGCAATCCCTTCACTAGCGTCGGCAGCAGAATCATGGTCTAGGGAGCCAGATTGAGCTGTACTCTCTACAGAGCGACCCTCTGTCGTTACTGTACCACCCGTGCCGTTTAAACCAATGCTCTTCCCTGCAGTTGCAGCAACAAACGCGGCGCCTCTCCCTGCTGGTTCTCTCACCGCCTCTTCCTCCCCTGACGCTGCCACAACAGCAGCTGCAGCTGCTGCTGCTGCCGGCGCCACTGATGCTGCTGATGCTGATGCCAATGCTGATGTTGATATTGATGCTGATACTGGTACTGACACTGGTAGTGTCTTTTGAGGCACCTCACCAGCTGTTGCTGGTGCTGATGATGCCCGTGCTAGTGGAACAGAAGCCGGCGTTGATGCTGACGCTGGTAATGGCAATGGCAACGCCGTTGCTGATGCTGATGCTGATGTTGATGCGGATGCTGATGCTGATGTTGATGCGGATGCTGATGCTGCTGATAAAGCAGGAGGGAGGCTCAGCCGTGCGCCTTTCCCGCGTGAGAAGCTGAAGCGGCCAATGGAAGAGCTCAGGGCGGAGAGGAGAGATGCCTTGCCCCCTCCCTGCTCACTCGTACTGCGATTAACAGCAGCGCTATTCTCATCCGCACCACCCCTCAACCCACCAGCCTGCTTGCTGCTGCTGCTGCTGCTGCTGCTGCTGATGCTGCTGCTGCTGCTACTCCTGCTGTTTCTGCTGCCGGTGGTGCTGGTGCTGGTAGAAAGGCCAGCATTACCTGCACCAGATTCCCCCGGCCTAGCATCCCTTGCAGGGTGGTCTTGGCGGGAGGCAAAGACGTTGAGTGAGCGCAGCAGGGTGATGACTTGCGGCATGGAGGGGCGTGATGCAGGGGCGCCCTCCCAGCAGCAGCGCAGCACATGCGCCAAGTCAGGGGGGCACTTGGGGGAGATGATGGGGCGCACGCCCTGGGGAATTGCATGGGGGGAGAGGGGAAGGGGAGAAGGGAGGGGGCCGGGTTGAACCAAGGGGCCTCCCAGCAGCAGCACAGCACATGCGCCAAGTCGGGGGGACACTTGGGGGAGATTATGGGTCGCTCGCCCTGGAGAATTGCATGGGATGGGGGAGTGGGGAGGGGGCAAGACGAGGGGGTGAGCAAGGGGCCTCCCAGCAGCAGCGTAGCACATGCGCCAAGTCGGGAGGGCACTTGGGGGAGATGATGGGGCGCACGCCCTGGGGGATGGAGGAGCAGCGGGGAGATAGGAGGAGGAGGGGCGGAGTGAGCAACACAAGGGGGAAATGATGGAGACATGGAAGGGGAGGGAGAGATGAAGGAAAACTGAGTTTAACGGAAATCGGACGTAAAGCCAGTCGCAGGATTCAACCATGTCTCTTTTCAAACATCTCCACGAACTGCAACAGGCAAGAGGTCAATGGTAATGGTAATGGCAATGGTAATTGTAATAGCAATAGTAATGGTAATTTTGATGGTGATGGTAATAGTATTGGTCATGATAATGGTAATAGTAATGATAATTATTACAGTAATAGTAACGGTAATGGTTATGATAATGGTAATGGTAGTGGTAATTGTAGTGGTACTGATAGTGATAACGGTAATGGTAACGGTAATGGTAATGGTAACGGTGATGTTAACGGTAATGGTAACGGTAATCGTAACAATAATTGTAACGGTAATGGTAATGGTAATGGAAATGGTAGTGGTAGTGATAGTGGTAATGGTAATGGTAGTTCTGATTGTGATGGTATTAGTTTTGGTAATGGTAATAGTAATGGTAATGGTAATGGTAGTTCTGATTGTGATGGTAATAGAAATGGTAATGGTTTTAGTAATGGTAATGATAATGGTAATGGTAATGGTCAAGGGTCTCGTTGTAGTCACCATTCATTCCATACCTGCAGCAGAAGGTCGGAGATCTCGTTGTAATCACACTTGGGAAAGGGCGGCTCACAGGAGAGCATGGCCCACAAGCACATGCCGAAGCTGAACACGTCTGCCCGGCGGTCGTAGGGAAGGGAGTTGAGCACCTGGTCGTTGGGGGAAAGGGGAATTTGAGGGGTGAGGCAGGGAAGAGAGGGAGGGGGTCCGTTTGGGCGGCTCACAGAAGAGCATGGCTCACAGAAGAGCATGGCCCACAGAAGAGCATGGCTCACAGAAGAGCATGGCCCACAGAAGAGCATGGCCCACAGAAGAGCATGGCCCACAGAAGAGCATGGCCCACAGAAGAGCATGGCCCACAGACACATATAAAAGCTTAATGCGTCTGCCTAGCGCTCGTATGGGAGGGAGTTTAGCACCTGATGGGAAGGGAGAGGAGGTGAGGGCAATGAGAGAGAAAAGGGAGAGAGGAAGTGAGGTTGGGAGGGTTGGAGATGGGGATGGGATAGCATGGACAACATGCACATGCTCGCGCACCTCAGTCCTGTTCACCTCAGTCCCGCTCGCCTCAGTCCCTCTCGCCTCAGTCCCGCTCACCTCAGTCCCGCTCACCTCAGTCCCGCTCACCTCAGGAGCCATGTAGTTCGGATTGCCTCTCTCCTCCCCTCTGCCCGCGTGACTGTATGCGAGGTCTCCCTCGATAGAAGCACAGGCGAAGCCCGCGAGGTGCAGACGTAAGGTGGAGTCGAGAAGCACGTGATCGGGACACACGTCGGCGTGTACCACCCGCAGGGAGTGCAGGAAGGCGAGACTGTGGGTGAGGGGGGAGTGGGTTGGGGGAGAGGAGGATGGGTGGGTGGGTGAGGTGCAGGCGTAGAGAGGAGTCGAGCAGCACGTGATCGGTCGGGACACACGTCGCCGTGCACCACCCTCAAGGAGTGTAGGAAGGCGAGGCTGGTGTGGTGTTGCGAAGGGACGGTGGATGGGAGAATGGAAAAGGTAACATGAATGAGGTGCAGGCGCAAGGAGGAGTCGAGCAGCATATGGTCAGGGCACACATCCCCATGCCCGTGCCCACAAGCACATCAACCCCCCCTCACTGCCCGTGCCCACAAGCACATCAACCCCCCCTCACTGCCCGTGCCCACAAGCACATCAACCCCCCCTCACCCTCTCCCCCCCCCCCCCCCCCACCTTTGGCGAGCTGCATAGCCAGGTCCACCAGCATGTATGTGCAGCGGCACTTGTTTTGAGACGTCTCAAAGCATGTATGTGCAGCGGCACTTGTTTTGAGACGTCTCAAAGCATGTATGTGCAGCGGCACTTGTGCCTCTCCCTGACAGGCGATGCGGGTGAGATACTCCTTGCGAGTCACTCCCGTGCCGATGAGGGAGCTCACAACGCGCGCCTGATTGCCTCGCAGAGGGATGAGTGCAGCACAAAACAACCCCCCTCACCTCATCGCACCTCACCTCTTAGCAAGCTGCATGGCTGGATCCACCAGCATGTGCAGAGGCAGCTTCCTCTTCTCCTTAGCAGTGCGGGCGACATACTCCTTGAGAGTCATTCCCGTGCCGATGAGGGCGCTCACCACAAAAGCCTGCTTGCCCCGGAGTGCATCATAAAACAGCCACCAACCCCCTCGACCTCACCTCTTGGCAAGCTGCATGGCCAAATCAACCAGCATGTGCAGAGGCAGCTTCCTCTTCTCCCTGGCAGTGCGAGCGAGATACTCCTTGAGCGTCACGCCCGTGCCGATGAGCGCACTCACAACGCACGCCTGCTCGCCCCGCAGGCGCGAGTCCACCCTCTGCTGCCTGGGCGTCCGGGGGGAGGGGGATGGGTGGGCCTCGGGGGAGAGCAGGGGGATGTGCGCCCCTATCACCTGGTTGGGAGGGGGAGCACACGCACATGGGAGGGCGGGGGGGGGGGGGGGGGGGGGGGTCGCGAGGCGGCTCCATTTAATCACCTCCCAAATGAGCCGTCCTCCTTACAAGCCGACTCAAACAGATGGACAGGTACGTCCCCCTGACACTGACTGACTCACCGGGACTATATGGGGGTGCGTGACGCGGCTCCATATAATCACCTCCCGTATAAGCGCCGCCCTCCTCTCCTGCACCGCATGCAGCGATGAGCCGTCGTTGCTGCCTAGGTCCACCACCTTCACTGCCAGGGTCGCACACGGGGACGAGGGCGGGGGGGCGGGGGGAGGAGGGCGGGGGGGCGGGGGGGCGGGGGGGGCGGGGGGTGGAGGGCGGGGGGGTGGGGGGGCGGGGCGCGGAGGGCATGGCGTGGAGATGAGAAGGAAGTAGGTCAGTCCTCCCGCCTCTCCTGCACCGCGTGCACTGATGACCCGTCGCCCCCACCCATGTCCACCTTCACTGCAACGCACGCACACAGGGAGCGGGGAGCGGGGAGCGGGGAGAGGAGAGGGGGTTGTGGAATGAAGATCATCCGCCTTACCTGCAAGAACCACTTTCAACCAATACCTCTTCCCCCTACCTACGTGACCTCTTCCCCCACAGCCTCTCCCCTTAAACCTACTCTCTCTCACCCATTCCAGTCCTCATCTCTCCCATCCCTCCTCACCGCACTGCACCTACCAGCAACGCTCTGCTTGCGGTATACGCCTCTGTACACCACGCTGGAAGACCCCCGCGCAATCTCCTACCCTCTCTCACCCCTCTTCACCGCACAGCACCCACCAGCAACGCTCTGCTTGCGATACACGCCTCTGTACACCACGCTGGACGACCCCCGCGCAATCTCCTTGGTCAGCGTGATCTCGCGCAGGTCTACCTCCGCCCACTCCGCCGACTCCCCCCACTCCCCCCACTCCCGCGCCTTCCCCGGACTCGGCGCGGCCTCCCACCCTTCCGCTTCCCCCGGCGCGGGCGAGATGTCGAGCTGCGGCGGCCCCTCAAGCCCCCCGCGGGTGCACGGCGCAACGGACCAGCGGACGGCGGGAGGCGGGGAGGAGGGGGAGGGATCGGAGGGAGCGGAGGGAGCGGAGGGATCGGAGGAAGCGGAGGCCTCGTGCTGCTCCTCACTCTCCCCCCTCTTCATCCCGTCGTCATTTGCGTGGTTGGGACTAGGTTGCTTCTGAGGTGCCTCTGCGATCGTCGTCCCCCTCTCGCTATCTAAATTGATGCCATGCGTTGAGCTGTCCCGTAGGTCTTTCGCGTTCCGTGATCCCTCGACCCCCTCTGACCCCCCGACTCCCTCTGATCCCCCGACTCCCCGCATTTCCTGAAGCTCCAATACTCCCTGCGTGTCCATTTCGCGACCTCGGTCCGCAGTGCGCCACGAATGTACACTCTTAAGAGCAAAAGGAAAACGCACTTCAACGGTTAGTAAAACGAGGTAGGTTGCTACATTGTGGAGCGGTGATTAGGTATTGTCGATGAGTTCTGTACAAGCCACATTGACGGAGATATCAATGTTACATGCAGGGACTAAGGGAAGCACATATTGAACCCCTGCTTTCTTCCTGATAAGCTTTCTAACTACCTGCGCTCGAAAACTACCCACTAATCCCGAACAGCCTTCACCAATGACGAATCACACGCACACGCCTTACCAATTTCTAGGTCGCGGCTTGACGACTACCACCGTATGCGTCAAGAACAAGCTTCAAGTCTAGGCAGTAATCTTTATAATATGGTACATCAGTACAGAAGATCGGTTCACTGACGAGAGCTTATTCCCTGCTGGCAAAACTGCTTCCCTGCCATAATGTGGCACCAACCATAACAATTCATGGTAGTATAAGTACATGCAGGTAGTTTTAGAATCATATATCGAACCAATTGAACCTGAGAAGCATAGTTGTCATGCAATACGTACGATAGAGGAATTTCGAGTAGCATTTTTTTCCCACAAGCTAACCACATCAGCAATAGATCCACGATGGCTCATCCAGGGTTGATTCCAACACGAGCCGGTGGTGCATGTATGTATGTATGATGCAGGAATATACACTCCAAATGATGTATTTTTCTGTATAATTAGATTCTTCACCTGATCGTACAGAGTCCTCGCTGTCCAGAAAAGGGATTCGCGCTCCTCCTTAGAACACGCCGAATTGGAGCCCCACCTCAATGCACCCCAAGTTCCGGCTCTCACTATACTTGTGATGTGTTTCCGGGCATGGAGTGTTTCGATCACGCAAGAATATGCATGAGTCAAGTTATCAGGCAAGAGGTTGCCAATCATGGCAGCAGCGCAGTCGAAGGGGGTTTGGAAGAGGAAGATTGGAGTGGAGATGTCGAGAAGGGTGTGCTGTAGGAAGAAGCACTTCCATTGCTCGGATTGCCTGGCGGCTGGATAGAATGGGGTGGAGAATGGTGAAGAGGAGTTCAAACCAAGGTGATTAAAAGTGCAAAGGTGATATCATGCTAGGAAGGAACTGGAGGATACATGTCCAAGGAAGGTTACGGTGGTTGAGGAAGAGGAAGATTGGAGTGGAAATGTCGACAAGGGTGTGCTGTAGGAAGAAGCACTTCCATTGTTCCGATCCCCTGGCAGCTGGATATGAGGGGGTCAAAGGCGATAAAAACAGTCAAATGCGAAGGCGATATAAAGAGACAAAGGTGGTAAAAAGAGAAAAGGTGATCAAAAGCTAGAAAAGGTGATGGGATAGTACATGCACAGCAGGTTAGGGTGGTGGGTGGGGGTACCATAGGAGCAGGTAGGGTTGACCGGACGATGCAGCAATGTCAATTTCTGCGCCAGCGCTTGAAAGGTGCGCCTTGAAAAGCGATCCCTTGTGTCTGAGAATCACAAAGTTGGAACAAGGGAGTCAGGGGACCATTCAGATAGTGGGAGGAGCCGAAAGAAAGGTGGAAAAAACGAGGTCAGGGGACAAGACAAGTCACCTGTGAGGACAGGGGGTGTTTGCTTTGCCAAAACAAGGCGCGGTAAGCAAGGTTGGGCCGATATACTAGAAGGGCGTACCTAGGAAAAAGCCAGCGTCTACAAGGCATCGGGTGGATGCGGATGGAAACAACGAGGCCAGCCAATCACAGAGGTTTGCTGTGGCCTGCCCACCAGCCGAGCTGCCCGAAAGCAAAATTTGTGAGGCGGAGCCAAAGCCACGCTGCAGCTGGAGGTCTGATGGGGGGGATGGAGGAATCGGGGGCGAATGGTGTGAGGGGTGAGGGAGAGGTGGATTGGGCAAAGGGAAATGGAAAGGGAGCAGAGAAGAACGGCTGAAAAGAATGAAGAGAGGGATGTGACAGGACCACCTGAAAGATGCAAGAGAGGCAGAGAGAAGGAAAGAGAAAGTTGATAATTGAGATGCATGTCATGTGATGAGAGAAGGCAAATTTGAAAGAGACATGTCATGTGATGAGAGAAGGCAAATTTGAAAGAGCATCTATCCATACAAGGTGCAGGAGAGGGGGAGAATTGGCACACACCTTGCAGCACCGCCTGAATGATGTTCCATCCGTCCAGGTAGATGGCTGAATGATGTTTCAACGTCAGGTTTGACCCCGTTGACCCCGTTGACCCCGTTGGCCCGGTTGACCCCGTTGACCCCGTTGACCCATCCGCCTCCAAGCTCACATTCGTTCCCGGGGCGATCCTCACTGATTTTGGCGAAGTGCCAGCGGTGCTCGGATGAGAGTAGCTGTCTGTGCGGTTGATCCGCCCTCTCGTGCCGGCGTAGCCGCCCCCATCGCAGTAGAGGAGCCTCACGAGGTTCCAGTTGTGGAAGAGGGGGTTGATTCGCTCGTTGGAGCTCAGCACACCGGCAAACGTTTCCTGTGCAAGGCGTTGACATGGTGCAAGCAAAGGGTGTGGTGGGGATTGGGTTGGTTGAGGGGTGAACAAGAAAAGGGAAGAGGGGTGAGTGGTGATACGGAGTCTGCACGGGAAAGGCAATAGAACCAGGGGCGGAAAGAGGGGGCTGAGGAGGAGTGAGGAGGAGTGCAAGAAGGAGGTTCATCCCAACACTTGGTTGAAGTGAAATAGAGAAAAGTGAGCCCTCTTCGAGGCTCAGGCATCCTCTTGCCTTGTGAAATATGTTTTAGAACTTTCAAAACGGATGTACAATCTTTTGATGGTAGACGTAGCAGAAACCTTTCTTCTTCTTTTTGAGGCGTCTCGAAGGCAACAACAGCCTTACAGAGTCATTGAGTTGCTTCGGGTACCCTCTTGTCGTCCCAAGCAGTGTGCGCGCACGCTGCGCGCATGCAGTGACAGTGACGCACCAGCCGCCTGCAGGCAGGTATATGTGCCAGTTCTGGCGCCCCGAGCCAGTGCCGGCGCGGAAATAGTATCCCGGAGGGCTGGAGCAGGGGACATGATATGGGAAAGGTGGAAATGAAGCGTGTGCGAGAACGCTGTGTGCATGCAGCGATAGTGACACACCAGCCGCCTGAAGGCAGGTGTACGTGCCAGTTCTGGCTCCCTGAGCCGAAAAGCATTGCTTTTGGCAAAAGTGCGGCGAAATGTCCTAAACACACACGCGAGTTGTTGAAAGCGTGAACAAACACTAATTAACCGCCTAGAAGCTTGGACTTAAAACGCGGTGACGTTTGAGTTAGGTACAAAGTCGGTTCGGCCTAGTCGCTGATTGGAGGCCTCGCTGGCCCACCTTCTCCATACACTTCTGAGACGTCTTTAAAGACACCTTCGCGAGCTCGCCTTCTATCCAGACACTTGGCACCAAGCGTATAAATAGGACAGCATAATAAGCGGAATATCAGGAGACTGCTCAGGAAGCCGCTTCGTCCAGAGAACTATCCCGACTACTAACGCAAGAATCACTAATTGGACTGCTGGCAGGATTACCTTCCATCCAGGCACTTGGCACCAAGCGTATTATTAGGCAGCAGAATAAGCGGAATAAGCGTGCTGGCTCTACTACTAGTGGTACCAGCATCCTCAGGAGTCCCTCTTTTCCAAAGTACTATTCCGACGACCAATGCAAGCAGCGCACAGACTGCTATGACAGAGATGATGAGGGACTTTCGGACCTGCATGGCTGGTAAAGCGAGGAGACATGGGAAGAAGCGGCTGGGTGATACTATGAACTTAGTCAATACGTCGCTGAGGTTCAGGCGGCTGTGCCCACTACAAGTCGCTATTTGTTCCCAGGAATTTTGGACGAATGCATTGCATTGCAAAGGACGTCTCACGGCAGTTGCACCTACCATTCTTGCTGGATAGCTGGAAGGGGAGAAAAGGGAGATTGAAGCTGAACTGACCTGTGGCGTGAGCATGACTTGGTTGGACTACTGTACTCTATCTGTGGTCTGAGCTGGAGTGGAAAATAGGGACGACGCGACGCGACGAACATGTCTCTGGTGGTTTGAGCAGATGAAAAATAGTTGCAATGCAAATCTGCAGCCGCAAACTTGTATGGTTGGGGAATAGGGTTACTTCTTGCCTGACCGTGCCTGCCTTGCAAGAGAAGGCGACTTGAAATGCACTGCTGTTCACCGAACCTGCGGCCAGGATACAACGCTTGCGTACACTTGCGATGTTCCCAACAAGCCGTACCTTATTTTAAAAAAATGGGATAGAAGCACAACTGATTGCTAATATGTTACATACAGAGAACAATGCATATACAGCTCGATAACATCCAAACACAGAAACAAAAAAATGGCTCAGTTGTCATGCAATATGTTGAAGAGAGGAATTTCTAGATTCCCAAAACCCAAACGCGTCAGCAAGAGATCCACTAGGGCTCATCCACGGCTCATTCCAACATGAATTGGTGGTGCATGTATGTACGTACGATGCAGGAACATACACTCCCAATAACGACTCTTTTTGCAAGAAAGAACTCTTTACTTTATCGTATAGAGTCCACGCTGCCCAGAAAAGGGCTTCCCGCTCCTCCTTTGAGCATGACGAGTTGACCCTCCACCTCAACGCACCCCATGCTCTACTTCTCACTATACTAGTGAGATATTTTCGGCCACTGAGTGTCTCCTTCATGCAAGATACTGCCCGAAAGTAATCGTTGGGTACGAGGTTGCCAATCATGGCAGCGGCGTAGTCAAAGGGGGTTTGGAAGAGGAAGATTGGAGTGGAGATGTCGACAAGGGTGTGCTCAAGGAAAAAGCATTTCCATTGCTCGCACTGCCTGGTGGCTGGATGAAATGGGTGGAGAATGGTGAAGGAGAGTGGAAACAAAGGTGATTAAAGGTTCAAAGTTGATATCATGCTGGGAAGGAACTGGAGAATACATGTGCAAGGCAGGTTACAATGGTGGGAGGAAGAGTAGGTACCATGGGAGCAGGTAGGGCTGAACGGACGATGCAGCCAGGTCAAATTTTGTGCCAAGGCACGAAACGTGCGCTTTGAAGATCGATCCTTTGTGTCTGAGATGTGCAAAACTCAAGGGAGAGCAAGGTCAGTCAACGAGTCAGTGGGGAGAGAAGTGGGCGTTTGCGTTGTCCAAACGAGAAAGTATAGTAAGCAAGGGAGGGCCAATCCAGGCAAGGGAGGGAGGGCGTTTGCGTTTGCGTAAGCTAGGAAGGGGCAATCCAAGCCACAGGGGTTTGCACAAATGATATGGTATGGAAGGAGGGCCGACTAGAAGGACGGCCGACTAGAAGGATGGCCGACTAGAAGGATGGCCGACTAGAAGGATGGCCGACTAGAAGGATGGCCGACTAGAAGGATGGCCGACTAGAAGGAGGGCGGATCACCGGGAGGGCGTACCCAGGAAGAAGCCAGAGTCCACGAGGCACCGGGTGGAAGCCGATGGGAAAGAAGAGGCCAGCCAATCACAGAGGTTTGCCGTGGCCTGCCCGCCAGCCGAACTGCCCGAAAGCAAAATCTGGGAGGCGGAGCCAAAGCCACGCTGAAGCTGGAGGTCTGAAAGGGAGAGGAGGGGTATGGATCGGAGGGGGAAAGGACCAAGGAGAGGAGAATAGAGGGATTAGAAAGTGGAGAGCAGGTACATGCACAGGAGTGAAGAGAGACGTAGGGGTCTCTCTTGAGAATTCTCTAAAGTGATTCAAAGAGTCAGGAGAGACATATGGGTGATGGAGTGAAGAGGAGGGAACAGAAAAGAAAAAGGGAGAGAGGGAGGGCAAGGAGTGCTTGGAAGAGAGGCGGCATGGGTTGAAAGGGATGTAGAAAAGGAGAAACACGAGGATAGTGGCATACAGGAAGGTTATAAAGGCTTCAGTTACTAGATTCCATGAGAGCAGGACACAGTTGGGTGTAAGAGAGGAGCTTCTACAGGGTACAGGCGCAGTTGGGTGTAAGAGAGGAGATTCTACAGGGTACAAGCGCAGTTGGGTGTAAATGGACACACCTTCCAGCACAGCCTGAAAGATGTTCCATCCGTCCAGGTAGACGGCCGAAGGCAGTAACAGGTTTGACTCCGTTGGCTTGGTTGACTCCGTTGGCTTGGTTGACTCCGTTGACTTGGTTGGCTCTGTTGCACCGATTGCCTCGAAGCTCACATTTGTTGCCGCGGCGAGCCTCACTGCTTTCGAAGCAGTGGCTGTTGTGTTGGGGTCAGAGTAGCTGTCGGTGAGATTGATCCGCCCTCTCGTGCCCGCATAGCCCCCGCCGTCACAGTAGACGAACCTCACAACGTTCCAGTTGTGAAAGACGGGGTTTTCGGTCTCATTGGCGCTCAGTATGCCGCCAAACCACACCTGTGCATGGCAACGCCACGGTGGAAACAAAGAGTGCAAAGCAAAGAGGTGGCCTTTGAGTCGACTCAAGATTCACGGTCTGATTAGACCTTGACGCGCCAATTAGACTTTGAGTCTAATTGAAGCTCAGTTTACCGCCAAACCACGCCTGTGCATGGCAATGTCACATTGCAAACGAAGTGCGTGAACCGAGGCTGCGAGGGGGGTGGTAAAGGAGAAGGCTAGGCTAGGCTGGGCAAGGAAAACACAAGTACCTTGTTGAAGTCAAGAAGCAAGCTTATTACAGACACATTGAAAAACACAAAGAAAAGAGGGTAAAAACACGTGGTAGCAGCCTTACGGGGCCGCTGCCGTGCTCAGGGTATCCTCTTGTCGACCCGAATTTTGTGCCCGCACGCTCAACGCATTCCGCGACAGTGACACACCAGCCACCCCCGGGAAGGTAGATGTGCCACTTGTGGCGCCCTGAACCGGTGCCGGGGCGGAAGTAGTACCCTGGAGGGCTGGCGTAGGGAACGTGGTGTGGGGAAGATGGGGGAGATGGCATGGAGCAGATGGCATGGGGGACAGTGACACACCATTCCTCTGAGGAGAGGCAGACGTGCCACTTGCAGCGCCCTGAACTGGAGCCGGGACGAAGTTTGTGCCCTGGAGGGCTGGAGTGCGGGACGTGGTGTGGGGAAGATGGGGGAGAAGGCATGGAGGATGGTACGGGTAAGACGGTATGGGGAAAGTTGGTATGGGGAAGATGGTATGGGGAAGATGGTATGGGGAAAGATGGTATGGGGGACAGTGACACACCATTCCCCTGAGGAGATGTAGACGTGCCACTTGCGGCGCCATGAACAGATGCCAGGGAGGAAGCAGTACCCTGAAGGGCTGGCGCAGGGGAGATGGGAGATGGTGTGGGGAAAATGGCATGGAAAATACTTTTGAGGCGCTTCAAAGGTAGATGATGTGGCACTGTAGGCGCCCAGAGGCGGAAGGAGTACCCTGAAGGGCTGGCGCACATCACAATCTTCCGGTCTGAAAATTCTGTTAGACACATTTGCCAGACCCAACAAAAAAAAGGTAGAAAGATTGTGATGTACTAGGGAAGATGGGAGATGGCGTGGGGAAGATGGCATGGGAGAGGTGGCATGGGGGAGATATATGGGGAATATGTATAGTGGGGGAGGCATCTCACGGGATCTGATCGATCTGAGCTGATCTCAGCCGTAGGATTTGGGTTGGCGAGCGGCAGAACCGAAAATCAAGGGCGCCGCATGATCGCCAATTGTTTTGGCGCCTCTAAAATCGACGCCCCATGATCGCCGATTGTTGTGGTGCCTCTAAAATCGACGCCCCATGATCGGCGCCAGACTCAGCGGTACTTGTATTGACAAAAAGCAGCCGCAGCGCACGAGCTGACTTCTGAGCCGACGCAAAACTCAAGATGATCTCACCAAGGTGGCACTTTCTTTTTACAGAACGCACATCGCGGAAATGGTTTGTGCCTAAACGGCCTCGAAGTGGGTTTTCTGCGGAAAAGCTGCGGCGCACTACGGCAAGTATCCAAAAAGCTGCGAAAAAACCCTCAAGGTAAGTACTCTCGGGTTCACCGAAAGGACTGACACGGTACTTGTCACTTTCGGCACTCTGCCTTTTCCGACTCCGAGTCGGAGTCGCGCATTTCGGCAACAACGACGCGCGAACAAGATACATGCCACATTTGAACGAAATGTCGCGGCTCGATAACCTCACTACTTGTAAAAAGAAACTGTAGTACAGTGTTTTCAACATCTAGCACTCGTAACAAATATATATTATGGTTGTGCAAAACGCTCGGAACTAGTACTAATCGACTCCTCGCAGGCTCACCTTCCATCCAGGCACTTGGCACCAAGCGTGCTATTGCGCAGCAGAGTAAGCGTCGGCAGCGGGATAGGCGTGCCATTCCTACTAATTGGAGTATTACCAGGAGTCTCCTCGGTAGTCCCTTTTCTCCCGAAAAAATCAACCCCGACAGCTAATGCAAGCAGCGCACAGACTGCTATGAGAGATATGATGAGCGTCTTCCAGCCGGACATGGCCATCGGGCGATGGAAAAGGCGTGGACGCGGCGGCCAGGCCAGGTAACACGAAAAGATTACGATGAGGACTAACGATTCAGTGGTTTGAATACGACTTCGTCACGAGTATTATGAGGAGGCTATGAGGAACTGACTCGCAGAGAAGACTCTTAGATGCGCATCAAAGGCTGGGTCCGTTACACGGCAGTTGGCATTAGCGGCGGACGCGAGAAGCATGACGACGACCAGCACGCGACAGACAAAGAACGGGACGAGTGTGAAGTTTAGCGCCATGACAGTTGAGCCTCGAGTGCAAAGAGAAATTGTGGCTTGCAAAAAAAGTGCGAGTGATATTTGGAAAATAGTCGAAGTTCGAACTGAATCGCTTTGCAACGTTTTTAAACGACTTTCAACTGTACGCTACCGTGGAAAAACTAAGTTCGACTCGGACCACATGCGCCGTAAAGATTTCTGCTGTGCAACACCACGAAACGAACGAATTTGTTCACTGTACAAGAACTTGCTGGACTCTCCCAAAGCCAGAACAGTTCGCGAGTTCGCGACAGAAAACAGGAAGCTCGCGAGCGAAACCAGGCTGTTTTCGCCTGAGCTGACAAGGACCAACCCAGTCAACTCAGGTCAGGCTTCGTCGGCTACGGCGAGTAGCATTCTACGTTGGACTTTCGTTGCTGACGCAGCAGCCTAATGCGGGGAGGGGATGGGGTGGGATGGGAGGAGATGGTATGGGATGGGATGGGATACCTCACAAATTGACGTGTTTGAAGCTCAAGGCCAGACGCGATTGTGCTGCGTTACAACCACAAATTGTATGAGCTGTACAAAGAGTGAGTATGTGTAACGGAACAACATTTCCTTTGTCTTCACACTCCATACCGCATACACGACTATTCCTGCCACCGTACACCTAACAGTATCCCACTACCACTTCGCAACACTCGCCTCCATACTGTTCCCGCACCACGACCATCGCGCCCAAACCACCCGGCTCGGCTGTACCCGTGACCCGGCCCACGCCTTGAAAATTCCCAACCTCGGCGCGAGGCCCGTGGGGCCACCCCTTCACGACCACGTTACTGTTAACGAACACTTCTGCTAATTAACAATTTTCTCATGCCTTTGTGCATTATGATGTTTGCTTTGATAGCACACTTTTCGTTTGCTTACTCAATTGCATTCGTAATGTTTGGTATTCAGAGCCACGCTCCTTTTCGGACTGTGCACACCTTTGCTTCCCACCTGATCGCATATTTGGGGCGGTAGACGTCCCTCAGCGCCCAGTGCCGCTGATGTGTGCTCTCTCGTACTCGTTTTGCCTCCTTTCGCTGCACCAGTATCACTAAGGGCGAATTCCTGGGCCCGGACACCATCTGAAGTTCGCCCACCTGAATGGTTTTGGTGTGAGGATGGTGTCCGTGTGGGGCAGGGCCCCACTCTGGACAGTTGGCAGGGTCCGTCAGGGGTTGACTGTCGCACGCGTCAATTGTATTCGCGACCAATCAGGGTGTTCCGCGATAGGCTGTAGTCCGGCAGCGACAGTCCTTGGGGCGCCAAAATGAAACGGCCAGCTCTAACTTTCGGGCACTGGTAAAAACAATGACCGCGTAATGTTCGATAGTGTTTGCGTGACTACATTATGTATTGAAATTACAATCATCGCACCAATATTGATGGCCACACCGGCGCAGCGAAATCATCGAACGTGAACATTATAATTTTTAAACACACATTGTGTTTTTTAAATTGTGTATTGTGAAAGCGAAGCTGCTTGTACTGCACCATTGGCATCGTCGAAGCGCGCTAAACGCCCTTCTCCAACTACAAAAACCGTGGGTTGGAGTTCATTTCCCTCCACCCACGTTTCTCGATTTTCAAACGGCTCACTCAACACTCCCACCACCCACCCCAGAGTAAACCGCCTTGCTAATGCCACTTGGATAGGGTACATCTTAGCTAGTGTTATTCGATTGCACCAGCTTGTGTTCAACGTTGATGCAAATGTTGTAATAAGCCATTTGTAATGAGAACGATGCCTTGTAATGAGAACGATGCCAATTGATAAGAATAAGAAAGCAAGCTTTCTCAATACATTACACTCTTGACAGCTGAGCTGTCTCGAGAGCATTGGATAGTGGTGTTAAGAACTAAGGCAAGAATGAGTAGATTAGGTGAAGGATTGGGTACAAGACTAGGGTATCGAGAAAGTTTTGTGTACCCCTTAAGGCTATCCCCAATATAGCCTGGATAATGATATGCATATATTTGACAAGTGGAACGATCGCACAGCAAAAAACTTGATGTGCAAACTGGTCGCACATCCACTGGCCGGTTGAGATGAACGTGTCCAGACTCCGGACCGCGTGGCCGAACATTCAAATGTGATTTTTGACATTGCGTACCGCGTGGCAGTACTTCGGATGATGTCCGTGCGTAGGAATGCGATCTAACCAGCAACATTTCATTCTGATAAAATCAGGATAGAATTGCAGCGATTTGCTACATACCATATGTTACAAACAGATAACAACGCGTATACACATCTCAACCAGGGCCCAAAATTGGTTTAGGCCTACTCTTACAAATCAGGGTACCAGCCCCTCCTAGAACAGACCCCTAGGGTAGAATTTCCCGTAGCCTGATTTCAGCAGGGTAACTCTGGCACTAGGCTGATTTGAGTAGGGTATTTTCAGGCCAATTCTGTTTTGGTTACAGTTTTGTGAGCTACGGTTTTAATAAAATCAGAAACAAAGTAATACACCCAAAGTCCATTCACTCTACAAAAGTCACACATGAACTACACACCCCCTGGCTGCCTCTCAAGGGCCGTTTCTTCCACGAGGCGGGAAGTGTATGGTCAGCACGGCAGGACTGCTGCTGCATTCTGTTGTCAAGGACAGCTTGTAGCTGTCCTTGACAGCAAATTCTGCTGTGTTGGCGGTGGGCGTGGCGACGGGTGGCAAGATTCGAGAATGAGTTGGCGGCCCTGCGGGAGAAACAACAAAAGAAACAACATGGCGCGTTGCCGACAGCGAGGCATTGTTTTGCGCGTGGGCACAAGCGACAACCGGTGTTTGTGGGTGTGTGGTACATTTTGTCACAACGCGGACTGTGGTCTGATTCGGGTTAGAAAAGTTTCGGTAAAAGGGTAGTGTACACCACACCCTGATTCCGTCAGCCTAACCTTAAAACCAGTCAGGGTAAAAAAAAACACGTTCTTTTAAGAGAAGGGCAACTAATTCGCATTCCTGATTTTGGCAGGGTAATCCTGAAAAAACGGCCGACCCCCAGGGTAATCAGGGCGTTTTACCCTGATATTTTGGGCCCTGATCCCAACCAGAACACATGCAGTAAGCAGCCAAATGACACAGCTGTTATGCAATATATCTAATAGAGGAATTTCTAGATTCCCAAAACCCAAACGCATCAGCAAGAGATCCACTGTGGCTCATCAACGGCTCGTTCCGACACGAATTGGCAGTGCATGTATGTACGTACGATGCAGGAATGTACACTCCCAACAATGGTTTTTTCTGCAAGAACAAGCTCTTTACTTGATCATAAAGAGTCCAAGCTGCCCAGAAAAAGGCTTGGCGTTCCTCTTTTGAACACAACGAGTTGGACTTCCACCTCAACGCACCCCATGCTCTGCTTCTCACTATACTTGTGAGATACTTTTGGGTGCTTAGAGTCTCCCTCATGCAAGATGCTGCACGGTGGTAGTTGTTAGGTAAGTAGTTACCAATCATGGCAGCGGCGTAGTCAAATGGGGTTTGGAAGAGGAAGATTGGAGTGGAGATGTTGAGAAGGGTGTGCTGTAGGAAGAAGCACTTCCATTGCTCGGATCGCCTGGCGGCTGGATTGAATGGGGTGGAGAATGGTGAAGAGTCAAAACAAAGGTGATTGAAGGTTCAAAGGTGATATCATGCTAGGAAGAAGCGGGTTACAGGAGGATACATGTGCAAGGAAGGTTACGATGGTGGGAGGAAGAGGAAGTACCATGGGAGCAGGTAGGGTTGAATAGGAAGTGCGGCGAAGGGGGGGGATGGGGGATGAGGGATGATGGTGGGAGGAAGAGGAAGTACCTTGGGAGCAGGTGGGGTTGAACGGACGATGCAGCCAGGTCAATTTCCGTGCCACCGCACGAAAGGTGCACCTTGCAAAGCAATCCCTCGTGTCTGAAAAGTGCAAAAGTCAAGTGCGAGCAAGTTCAGCAAATGAGTCCATGGGGAGAAAAGTGGGCACTGCGCTGACAAGGCATGGTTATGGTAAGCAAGGGAGGGTCAATTCAGGCCCAAGTTACCAAGAAGCCACGTGTACAAAGTGAACTTTTGAGACGTCTCAAAAATCCACTTTTTACACGTCGGGCTGACTACTAGGATGGCAGGGCGGATTACGAGGAGGGTCGGGCTGACTACTGGGATGGCTACTGAGATGGCTACTGGGATGGCTACTGGGATGGCTACTGAGATGGCTACTGAGATGGCTACTGGGATGGCTACTGAGATGGCTACTGAGATGGCTACTGGGATGGCTACTGAGATGGCTACTGAGATGGCTACTGGGATGGCTACTGAGATGGCGTACCAAGAAAGAAGCCAGAGTCCACAAGGCATCGGATGGACGCGGATGGGAAAGACGAGGCCAGCCAATCACAGAGGTTTGCCGTGGCCTGCCCGCCAGCCGAGCTGCCCGAAAGCAAAATCTGGGAGGCAGCGCCAAATCCACGGTGGTGCTGGAGGTCTGATAGGGAGAGGAGGGGTATGGGGGATGGGGGATGGGGGATAGGGGATGGGGGATGGGGGATAGGGGATGGGGGATGGGGGATAGGGGATGGGGGATGGGGGACGAAGGAATTATTTTTAGACGTCTCAGAATTTGAGGGGCGGCACCAAAGCCACGGTGGTGCTGGAGGTGTGAATGGGAGAGGAGGGGTATGGATTGGAGGGAGAAAGGACAAGGGAGAAAGGACTTTAGTTAAAAATACCATGAGCGCGAGCAGGACACGGGTGGGTTTTGAGTCGACTCAAAACATGACTTTTGTTAATAGATGCCATGACAGCTGGACACGGGTGGGTGGAGGAGAAGAGCTCTGCAGGGTGCAGGCAAGGGGGGGAATCGGCGCACCTTCGAGCACAGCCTGAATGATGTTCCATCCATCCAGGTAGATGGCTGAAGGCACTGAATTGGTTGACTCTGTTGACTTGGTTGACTCCGTTGACTTGGTTGACTCGGTTGACTTGCTTGGCTTGTTTGACTCTGTTGACCCGGCTGCATCATCGAAGCTCACATTCGTTGCCGCGGCGAGCCGCACCGTTCTCGAAGAAGCAGTGGCTGTCGAGTTCAATCGAAAGAAGCCGCGCGTGAGCTTGATCCGCCCTCGCGTGCCGGCATAGCCCCCGCCATCGCAGTAGACCAGCCTCACGAGGTTCCAGTTATTAAAGACGGGGTTTTCGGTCTCGTGGGCGCTCAGTATACCGCCAAACCACGCCTGTGCATGGCAATGCCACAATGCAAACGAAGAGTGCAAAGCAAAGAGGTGGCCTTTGAGTCGACTCAAGGTTCGCGGTCTCATTGGCGCTCAGTATATCGCCAAACCAAGCCTGTGCATGGCAATGCCACAATGCAAACGGAGCGCTCGAGGGTGCTTGCTAAGGAGAAGGCTTGACTGGGCAAGGAAAAAACAAACAGCTTATAGCTGAATGAAGTCAAGAAGCAAGCTTATTACACACACACACACACACACACACACACACACACACACACACACACACACACACACACACGCACGCACGCACGCACGCACGCACGCACACAAACTTCAATAGATAAATGAGAGTTCACAAAGGCTTGAGGGTAGAAGCAACAGCCTTACTCGGCCGCTGGGGTGGATGGGTATCCTCTTGTGGACCCGAATCCTGTGCCCGCCCTCTCAACACATTCTGCAACAGTGACGCACCAACCACCCCCGGGAAGGTACACCTGCCACTTGCGGCGCCCTGAGCCGGTGCCGGGGCGGAAGTAGTACCCTGGAGGGCTGGAGTAGGGGAGGTGGATGGTGTGGGGGAGATGGGGGAGATGGCATGGGGGACTGATGGCTTCGCCAGGAGCATTGCTTCATATCAGTAATCACAAGCTGCGTGTTAAGCGAATAATCAGTTGAGAATCACTGATTTGACGCCTCGCTGGCTCACCTCCCATCCAGGCACTTTTTAAGTAGTAATTTATAATGGCTGCCTTCCTCCATGTGAACAAGGAGGCCGGCACTCAAAAGTTTCCAGGCTCACCTTCCATACACTTTCTGAGACGTCTCAAGAGACACTTCCGGGTGTGTTTTGAGTCGACTCAAAACACTTTCTGAGACGTCTCAAGAGACACTTCCGAGACGTTGCAGGCTCACCTTCCATCCAGGCACTTGGCACCGAGCCTATTATTGCGCAGCAGAATAAGCGTGTTACTATTGCTAGTAGTGGTACCAGGAGGAGTCTCTCCAGGAGTCCCCTTTGCGCATAACAATAGTCCTACTATAAGCGCAAGCAGCGCGACGATTGCCATGAGAGATAACACGATGAGCGACGCCCGGCCAGGCCGCATCGCCAGATAACAGGAGGAAATTATGAGGTCTAAGTATTGAGCAGAGGCGACTCTCGAGGCGCGTCAAAGGCCGGGTATATGGACAAATGACACGAAGAGATTATGAGGAGTATGAGCTGAGTAGTAGAAACACGAACGGTGTGCTTCAGGTAGCAACATGTGAGGCAAGGTGTGCGTCGGATGCGAAATGAGTCTATTGGTAAGAATCTTAGGCAAGGTGTTGCTCTAAGAAATTGGGCCCAGTGCGGCGTTTCTGTTAAGAACGTCTGACTCGTGAATCTGAGGGAAGATGATACGTACCACGGCAGTTACCACTACACTACACTACAGTAGTACAGTGCAACCCTGTGCTGCTTCTGCTGGAAGGGGGAATATGATAGCATGAACGCCGCACAGAAGGGCGAGTCATTCTCGCGCGCTTGGAGATAAGCTGAACTGCAGAGCGCGCGAGCATGACTCGCCCTTCTGTGTGTGGTCTGGAAAATAAGGACGGCGCGCGACTTCACGATATTTTCGAGCTCGCGACGCGCCAAGAGAGACGGCAAATATCCGGGCTGCAGCATCCCAAAAATGGGTTGGGGTGTGCAGTAGGTTTGTGAAAGTTAACTTTCTGTGCGGGTGGATGGGAGTGTGTTTCTAGTAGGTTCAGTAGTTAGACTAGTAACTCTCACGTAGATTCTGCCAACTTTCGGAACTAGGGTGGGATGAGTTCGAAGTAACATCGCGGCAGGTTTTTTAGTTGGCCAATCCGAACCTCCCTAGCCTATCAGCCTTGTTTCGAAACTGTGCACCACAGCGTGGTTTGAAAAATGTACAGTAGTTTCTGCTCTGTTTAATAATTATACGCAAAATAGTGTGATTGTCACAACTTCTGAGTTTTTGACGGATGATTAGGGTTCAATTAATCTCATCAAATATAATTATGTAAAGCATTCGACAAGTTAGATTATAGTAATTAATAATGTCAATTTAATATATTTCGAGCTACTATAAGCCTAAGTTTAGTCAAGTATTTATTTTTAACTTGATATTTACATTTACAATTCGTGAACACCTAACATGTTGATGAAAGATCATGAGGGTTTAGTGCAATATATAGCTACATGCAGAGTGCGTAAGATGGAATGCGCGTCAACAATCTGAAATCGTACATCACGTCGGGATTCGTGCAACTTTGTGCAGGCCGCGACCAGGGACGTCGCTAGTAAAGAAGGCTGTCTTAGAATCAGACAGAAGTTCTGGCCTTAGTCTGACCATCAGACGGATTTGTTAGCACGGTCTAACCCTATAAATGAAAGTGGTTTGTATTGTCTGTCGATTCAGACGATGTTTAGATACTAGTCTGTAGCTAACATTAACGTTACAAGTCAGCTAACTTACTGAGTCTCGCTATCAGATTCACTAGAACTAACAGAGCAAGAATCCTCGTCATCATCCTCTGATGCTACGACTACTTGACGCTTCTTCCTCCTCCACGCGGGGATGAGTGCCCCCTCGGCGGCTACTTTTTTCTCTCTCCCTCGCCGCTGCCGCCTCTGCTTCACGCGCAGCTCTTGAGGCTGCGGCTGCTGCTGCGTTCGATGCTGCGACTGCTGCTGCTTGAGCCGCCTCTGTTGCACGCTTTGCTCGCTTCACCGAGCACCCCGCCTGTGCCATCACGCCCTCCTCCCGTGCCATACCGACATGATCCCCTACGGCTCCAGCTCGTAATCAAGCAATGACATCGTCATCAGCTCCCCGAGAGTTGCAATGCAAAGGTTGCTGCGAATCCAACTGTTGATAACGTTCCGCCGGCTAAACCCCCGCTCGCACTCAACTGTGCTAAGCGGGAGCACGGCCACTACCATCCACAGCCTGACGAGGTTCGGGTAGGCTGCGGTCCAGTCGTCGCTCGCGAGCATGTGCTTCAAGCTGTCGTGGAACGAGAGGTCCTCATGGTGGGTAGCGATGATGTTGGTGAAACTTCACAACTCCTTCTTAGCCTTGCCCCAGTGGATGCCTGTTGATCCAAATGATAGGGAGGGGGCAGCCGGACCGCCATGAGGGACGCCGCTGTTGAGATAGTAGTGAGAGTAAGGCGCCATAGCTAGGAGAACCCTAGCTAGGCAAGCGAGAATTGAAGCAAAGGAGAGGGATTTCACTAGCAGCAGCAAGGATACATATAGCAAACCCTAACAGGGTTGTACTCGCTATAGAGCACCCCACTACAGGCTAGTGAATATAACATTCTAACACACCCCCCTAGCCAAAGTGGGGTGTAATCAGCACATTAAGTAAAGCTAGAGGCTAACACAGCGGGCAAGTGAGGAGGAGGAGGGACAGTGAGAGGAGAGGAGATAGGAGGCGGCGGCTGAAGCTGCAGACACACGGGCAACAGGAGTGGCGAGCACAGTGGCTACCGGGACAGCGCCTCGGACTACAGGAGTAACTGGCTCCGCGGCTAAGACGAGCGGCAAGAGCTACGGACCCACAGGCGACTGGCGCAGCGACAAGCTCACTGGGCTACCGGGACAGCGCCCCGGACTACAGGTGCTGCGGACGACAAGACGGCAGTCTCCGCTCAACCTCCCGCAAACAGTCCCACACACCCCCCACACACCCACTGCTTCACCCTAGCTCCACTCCCCCGTCACCCCCCAAGTACCACTCCGACGGTTCCACTCCCACATCCACCCCCCTCAGCGGCAGCTGCAGCAGTGGGAGACTGAAGAGGAGGAGGAGCAGGTGGAGGAAGTCACAGCCGACACCCCCATAGCCGCCACCCCCAAACCCTAATCCAGGAGAACGGGCTGTAGGAGGGGTGGGGCGCCAGTAGAAGCACGGGGGACAGGGGGGAGGGCAGGGGCAGCGAGGAACGGGCCGCCCACGGGCCTGGCACAGCCGCCCGAACCGCGCGCAGGCGGCCCGAGCCGCGCGCGGGCCTGGCGCGTCCCGTACGGGCCGCGCGCGGGCGTGGCGCAGCCCGTACGGGCCGCGCGCCGGCTGTACGGGCCGCGCGCAGGCCACGACGGGCGACGGGGGGCGACGCGCGGGTCCCCGTCGCCCGTCGCAGCGCCTCCCGGGGGCGACGCGTCGAGTGACGGGGCAGAAAACCGCCGCGCGCCTCGGGGCGCACGGCGGGCTGAAAACCCAGAAAACAAGGAAGAAGGCGTCGCACGCCACGGGGCGTGCAACAGACAGAGTAGCAGTAGCAGTGGAAGCAGTAGTGGGGCCCACAGGCCAAGGACGTAACCGCTCTGATAGCATGTTGAGATAGTAGTGAGAGTAAGGCGCCATAGCTAGGAGAACCCTAGCTAGGCAAGCGAGAATTGAAGCAAAGGAGAGGGATTTCACTAGCAGCAGCAAGGATATATATAGCAAACCCTAACAGGGTTGTACTCGCTATAGAGCACCCCACTACAGGCTAGTGAATATAACATTCTGACAGCCGCGTCACACTTGTCGACGGACAAGTTGGCGAAGAACTCTGTGACGACAACCCCATGCTTGATAAACGTGAGGTACACGATGAGATGTTTCCCGCGCCGCCTGTCGGTGCTTTCGTCAAGGTGAATCCCGAGGAACGGACTCTCACGGATGTGTCGCAGTTGCTGCGCCTTCAGGTACGAGACCATCGTCGGAAGAAATCTTCGTGAATAGGGTTGCTCCAATGGCTTGGCCCGGGGTGGTGGACCTGCCATGCGCTTCTCCGACAGCATGATGTTATCTCGGAAGCCGCCATATGCGCCGCCTATATCTTCGAACATGGAGAGAGGTACCAGCTACGACCAGCGCCGCGACGAGACCGGGAATGCCTCGCCTTCTACGCTGGTAACACAACGGAGCAACTACCGCGGCGTCGGTTACGGCAAAGTTTGCAGAAAGTTTGGGCGCTAGGCTGAGCGTTTAAATACCGATCTCGCCGTCGCCAGACCAGTTCGAGCCCTTAGTCCGGCCGACAAGATGCACGAAATGACACGGCGTAAAGCCCCCAACTATCAACCCCCATCGCGCACCCTGAACCCAGAGGTTCCGCCCCAGCAGAATCCGCCGTCTGCAACGCCTGCAGTAGTTCGCCACACCATCGGGAACATGGCCACAACAAGTGATTCACGTCGCCGCCGCGCGCGCTCGCTGCACCAGAGGCAGCACGCTATCCAATCGATGCATTCACGAACCTTAATCTGCTCAGCACCCGCCACGCCTTCAACAACGATGGCGCCCAGTACTGCAACCTTCCTGTCCAAGTGCTGAAATTCTTATCCCACGTACATGATATGTGGGCGGCACAGATCGCTTGGATCTCGCGCGTGCAACATTCGAAGTTTAGAGACACCGCACATCGTCTTTCCGCGTCTGGCGTCGCTCGCACGTAACGATCGCAAGCGCTTCAACACCTCGTACCTGGATAGCTGCTGCGGAGAGCACATGGTTGGGTGCGAGCGTCTTGTCCACAACGCTAGGGTTAACCCCAATGGACACCTTCGTTATTGTGGACAGCAACACCCGCCGGCGCGCAAGTGCGCAAGTCACGTCGTGCTCAAAGCACGAGGAAGCCGCATAGACATCTCACATAAGGACGTGCTGATGATCTAGAACCTGCTCTATGACCTGCTTTCCGCCACTGC